AAAAAAAAAAAAAAAAAAAAAACAAACGTTGAGTCGCATTTTCATCGACAACGTTAATCGTCGTGAAGCAATTCAATACGCGTCGCGTTGATTAGAATTTCCCGCCATTGAAGGCGTTTCAAAGCCGAGGGGGGTGAACCGAAGATGGAAGTCGCGTAGCTACATACTTGTAGGAGGAGAAGGATGGAAATTATCCGAGCTCCGTGGCGTAAAGATCGAGCACACGAGGTAACCGGACGTGGAAATTGGGCTGACTCGCATCCGTCTGGATCTGACCGAGCGTGGAGGGGGGAGGTTGAAATCAGGTTAAAACGGCTGGTTCCCGAGGAAAATTAAATACCATCTATACCATCGCGGCGTGGAACACGGAAGGAACATTTTCGCGAATGAAATCTCGTTTCTTTTGAAGGGGCCACCGGGGCCATTTCAATTACACGCGTTCAGCTTGGACAAATATTCCAGTAGTGGGTTCACTAGAGACCGGGGCTCCCGAGATAGGGTCGAGGTTCCCGGGCGAGAGGAGATGGGGAAAAAAAAAGAAGGAAAAAAAAAAGGAAACGAGACTTTTTCCGTGTTTGGCCACAAAGGAATTTCATTCCATTCGGGCCGATCGGGCTCTTTCCAGGCTGAATGCCCAGGCAAGCGTGCACGTTCTCTTTCTCCCTCCTCTGTGTACACGCACGATGCAACCATCGTTGGACGCGTGTACGCGCCTACAGCCGTACACCGTACGCCGTACTTCGTACACGTCGGACCGGCAGACACACCGGGGGACTGCCGAGGGTTGGTAATATATACGCGCTCTCACACGTACGCTGCATACAAGGGTAACAAGTAGAGGGAAGTAGCAAATGGGGGAGGGGAGGGAGTGGAACGAATAGAAGGCGGGTGAGCAACGTAACGTAACGTTACGGCGCGCACGGTCCGGCCCGTTCTGTCGGAGGCCCCATTGAAACGTATTCTAGCGGCGAGGCGCGCATCGCATATTTTCCAATCCCCCTTCTCTCGAAAGGGGTAGGCTAGGCTAATCGAAACCGATGCGTGCGTGCATGCGTACGTACGTGACGACGTCTCTCTCTCTCTCTCTCTCTCTCTCTACGGCCGACCGCAAACACCCGCGATCTGTATCTAAGCCGTAGGAATGCGGCGTAACGCGCAATTAGGCATACCTAGGACATCCACGCATCCCAGCTGGCTCAACATCGGCTTCGTGTTCAGTTGGCACATGTAGCAGCCTCGGTCGGCTTCCCGAAGCTGGCGAATGTGCAGCCGCGAGGTGGCCTCCTCCTCCTCCCTCGACCGGCTCTGATTCTTCGACTTGGCGTTCTCCAGCGTGACGAGAAACCGCGGCGAGTGCGTCACCGTACGTTGCCCCATCGACAGTATCGTCTTATCCTCCACGCGGATCCATCCCACCTGTAAACAGATCAACAACGTCATCGCGTTGTTCGGATATTTTTAAAAGAAAAAAAAAAAGGAAGATTGAAGCGAATGAAGGCCTGTACCAATTATGTCTTCTAAACATAAACGAAGTTAATTATATTGACGGATCTATTCGAATACGTGCAACGTTATGCGAAACGGTTAAATAACTGGCGACAATCGAACCCCTGCTGGATGTCCAACAACGTAAACGGATAATTCCGTCAGATAATTCCGATTCCGAAAGGGCATTTATCCAGTACGCGTACAGAGACACGATCTTTCTCTCTCTCTCTCTCTCTCTCTCTCTCTTTCTCGTTTTCTCTTTTCGCGCTTCTTTCGTTTTAGTGGCCATGCAGCATGATCGCTGTTCAGATTTCGCGTCGAACAGCGTTTGACCGCGATCCACTCAATGTATATATATAACGTGGATTAAAAATTGCTGTGCCCGTAAAAAGTTGCTGAGAAAGACTCATCTCTGATGCGAAAATATGCGCGTGTTTGAACTGACTGGAAGCACGATAATGAAGGATTGTTTAAACCGCTACTGTTGTGCAACAGTAATTACAGTGTTGTTTCAAAAAGGAATTCATTTCGATTAAGAAAGTAGATGAGCCATATTTCATGTCAGATATAAGAAATAATTGTTTCCAGACTACGAAGATCTCCAGAAGATCTTCTATTCGCAAAAAGCAGAAAACTGTGTATATAGAAGATTGCAGTAGCAGGGATACTTATTTAATAAGAGAGAAATAGGCAGCTTTTGGCACTAAAATAGATAGTTGAGCGAGACATAGCTTCTCGAGCAGTTTTGCCAGACAAAAAGGAAAGGTGGCGACGAGAAGAGGAACGCGAAGGCGATCTAGACAGGGATCGACCGGTGGGAACAGAGCGGAGGACAGCCCTCGAGTCAATATTATATCGCGCGTAGAGCAGCCTTGTGTCTTGCCGTGTGTTTATGTACCGCCGACTACCGATACGTATATATCCACGAGCGATACGTGTTCGCACGTATGGCCGGTAACAGTAATTGCTTTTAGCCGATGGCTCGAGCCTGAGCCATTGCCACCGCGCGAATCAACCTGACGAAAGGTTCAATTTAACGTCGTATCGTAGCGTGCCCCTTTGGATCCCCCGCATCTCCTACGCGTTATCTATAACGCTGCACTTGGTAATTAATCCGAAGTGACTGTCGTGCACATCCCGTATGTCTACCAACCGCGCCCGTATGCGTCGGGTTACACCATGTCATGCGACACCGACCATTCGTACCCGCTACATCCCCTTACGACGCTCGTTCAAACTGTACCCAACCAGTTGTTAACGCCGTTAATGCGCAAATACCTGCGCGAAATTCATACTCGTCGTCTTACGTTTTGCTCGACTGTCGAGACGAATCCAGACGTGTGCACGTGTGTACCGAAAATGGACCCTTAAGAGGAGGTGTATTCTGCAATTTGACATCGAAAAAAAGATTGATGAGGATAAGCTCACTATAGGTACTGCTATATCTTCGCACTGACCGATCATCCTCTGGTTTCTCGGAACCAGTCGGGACCGAAAATGGCCCCTTAAGAGGAGGTACATTCTGCAAATTGTCATCGAAAGAAAGATTAGTGAGGATAAGCTCACTATAGGCACTGCTATATCTTCGCGCTGACCGATCGTCCTCTGGTTTCTAAGCATCAGTCGGGACCAAAAATGGACCCTTAAGAGGAGGTACATTCTGCAAATTGTCATCGAAAGAAAGATTGGTGAGGATAAACTCACTATAGGCACTACTACATCTTCGCGCTGACCGATCGTCCTCTAGTTTCTCGGAATCAGTCGGAACCGAAAATGGCCCCTTAAGAGAAGGTGCATTCTGCGAATTGGCATCGAAAAAAAGATTGGTGAGGATTACTACAGGCACTGCTATATCTTCACGCTGACCGATTGTCCTCTGGTTTCTAAGTATCAGTCGGGACCA